TTTGGTAGCAAAGGAGGAGCAATTTTCTCCATGCTTCCGCAAGATAGCAGGCATGTGTCCAGTTGTCTCATTATTGCTACCTTATAGGGGGAAATGGGAAGATGGACCAGTCGTGCAAGCCTATTGGAAAATGCCTAAAGGAAAAGAAAACGTAATATTGATGTTAATGTAAGGAAGTTCGGTTTGGTGAAGGATTCTTTAAAACCTAGTGATTAATTCCGAGGTGAGAATTTGTTTTTTAGAGAAAAAGGCAGCATGAATGAGAAGTTCCTGATGGTGTAAACACGAAAAAAGGGCATATGCACAAAAACAGTTTTAGCCTGTATTCTAGCAACTTGAAGTAAAAATAGTTTTACCCCATGGTTTAAATAAGGACCTTCTAAGGGTACCATATCCCTAAAAACTGGATTGAGACTGTAGATGAGCTTTGAGATCCTGTGATGCAGGAAGGAAAACAAAGGGAATCCAACGAATTCAGAGACGGTTCTGGTTAACAAATAGTCTACTATTAAATAAATTTATCGGTAATGGCGTCTTTAAAAGATATTATGAGACAGAAAATCATTCAGAAATTGCAACTTCAATGGACTGAAGTTTTGGTCAAGTCCATAAATTGTCCATGAATCATTTATTTCCATGATAACCTCACGAAACTAGAAGAAGCTCCCCTAATGTTTGCAACTCTTGGTTGAATGGGTCTCTAGTAAGGGTGAAGGTGATAAATGATTTCATGCGCTGAAACAAGAACAAATTCACCAGAGATTTCTAGCCTAATACTGGAAGTCATTGCAATAGCTTCTGCTGCAAAAGTTGACGTTTCAATACAGTATTACCGATGCCGCTCCACATGAAAAGGAATCATCAGTTTTCCCTATGACCTATTGAGGAGTCAATACTGGAAGTAGCACATTTTGGAGAAAGTTTCAGAAGCATGAGTGTAAACCTGCAATTTCACGCTATATAGTGGAAGTTCTCGCCGGCCGACCACTTGGCACACATCCGAACTGTCATGATGCAATGTCTCCTATTAATTACCAATTCAACTAATTCAACGATAGAGAGAGCCCTTCGATAACTGGGAAAGAACGGTATTAATTCACCCAAACTCGTCGAAAATAAGGTTTGCTACAACGTTAGAGGTCGATATTTCTCGGAGCACTCGATTATCTGAAATTATGATCGCCGATCGGTCACAAACCGAATCAACTCCGAACTTCGCCCGCCATATTTCTTCAATTTTATCCTCTCCTTGTAACAATATTGTTAGCATAAGTCAGGGTTCCCAAACCCAGGGTCGCGACCCAGGGTTTGGATGTTGAATTTTGAGTCGTGACCAAAAAAGTGGGAACCACTCGCTCACCGACCGCTTCTACCACGCGCGTCCGAAATTCCCTATTCAACGGTGTCAGTTAGCATCACCTGAATGATTAGCATCTCCTAGATGATAGTGTCAATAGCTAGGATGGGAGGAACGATTGTCATTCATCCCAAACTCGTCGAAAATAACGTCTGCTATGAAATTACAACGTTACAGTCCTGGTATTTCTCGGAGACTTGGAACTCTCAAAGTGGAATAACCAGCCGGGTGCAGAGATCGTCGGCTGACCATCATGGATTCGTCATTCAGCCTAAGAGATAAGTAATTCCCAAATAGATCGCTCATATTTCACTTCGTCATTTCATCATGGTAGCATAAATGATCCCCGAAAAAAAGAAGGGATAACTTCGAAGCGAAGGAGTTTAGCCTCGCTTTTCGACAGGCACATACTTTTCATACGTTTTCGCCTCTACGAAAATGAAAGGTTATGAATGGGTCACTAATTTGGACAATGGAGCGTCGAAGGTGCGACCATAGCGAGTTTGTCCACAAACTCGCTATATGATGGATGACAAGACCCGTGGACAGACCCTTTTACTTTCTGAAAGTAAAAAAAACGATGGCAACGCACCTGATCACGCGACTCTTTAATTGATCCCCCTCAAATAGATTAGGCGAATTATTGGCATGGAATTTCAATAGTGAAGAAAGCGTACAAACATAGGGATGGATTATTCGATGAGCCCTGTTAATAACTAGGGCTGCCAATTCGATTGATTTAATTATTAATCCAAGGGTTCTTAACCTGGGGTCCATGGGGTATGTCCAGGGGATCTGTGGAAGGTATAAGGGAAAATAAATATATAATTGAAGGTGGCTCCCGAAAAACATTATTTATAATTACAAATCCAGGTGTTCTGATAACTGGGGGCTCATATGGAAACGTCCAAAAACTTTTCAGAATTTTATGCACTTTCTTACTCTTGTGATGATCACCCTGAAAGGGCAGCTGATGATTCAAAGTTACCGTTAATTCGATTCAGAGAAGGAAACGGTAGTTTCTGTGTTCAGCAGACCGATACAAATTCCTGTTTCAAATCACGCTTTCTGTCTCATGGTGCAAAAACGTTAAGAACCCCTGCCCTTGAACAACAGAACCTTGTAAACCTAGCGCCTGACCTAGGGCCTAAAATGACATAGCGTCATAGGCCTCGTGCGGTAGCTTCCATAACTTTTGGCCTCTGTTAATTAAAGTATTAGATTATACCCTTGATTAAATCAATTGTTCTACACGTTCAGCAAAATACGGAAATATGCTGAGAGCTACACCGAATTTAGACTTACCTTCACCACTGATCTTGACAGAACTCAGACACCTCAGTGCTTCCTATGTGGGAAGGTTCTCTGTAATCAGAGCATGAAGCCTGCAAAGATACGAGAGCATCTTGAAAATATTCACCCTGTTAATGTTGAAGATGAGTTGGATATTTTCAAGGAGAAGAATGCTCGATTTGATTCATTTGGCACTTTGCTCAAACTTGTATTTTCTCCAACTCAAAAACCTGCTTTAGAAGCATCGTACAAAGTGGCCAACTTGATTGCGAAAAACAAGAAGCCACACACGATTGGAGAAACCTTTATGAAACCATGCACTCTGCAAATGGTTGACCTGGTGTGTTGCAAACAGCATCGGAAGGATATTGAAAAAATACCGCTGTCAAATGACGTGATTCACTCACGAATTCAAGACATATCTTCGGATATTCCTCAACAAGTGACCGGGGAATTGAAAGCCAGCCCTCTCCCATTCAGCATACGTACAGTTGGATGAAACCACTGATGTGGCTCAGTGCAGTCAGTTGCTGGTTTTTGTGCAATATGTGGACAGTGGTTCAATCAAGGAAGAATTCCTTTTCTGCAAAGCACTTGTAGCAGCCACAAAGGCAGTGGATGTGTTCAACCTTGTCAATGAATTTTTTGCAAATCATGACTTTGCTGATTGTAGCAAGAAGCTGGGGATGATTTGCACTGATCACTTTGCACTGGGCGCCATCAATGCATGGGAAAAAAATCAGGATTTGCAGGCCTGGTGGAAGCAGTAGCTCCTCAAATTGCCGTCACTGGCTGCTTCCTGCATCCACATGCGCTTGCCTCAAAAAACGCTGCCCCAAAATATGAAGGATGTCATGTCCACTTCCGTGCAGGTCGTGAAAGAACTTCATACGAACTCGTGCCACAAATCATCACATCTTCAAAATTTTCTGCCAGGATGTTTGTTCAGAGCAAGATGTCCTCCTGTATCACACGGAAGTTTCTTGGTTCTCACGAGGTTCAAGTTTTCACCCCATCTATCTATATCTATAAGCAAGGATCTCTGTCTCTGTCCATCTGACGCTATGCATTCGGACACCGTTGGAGATAATACAAGTTTGAGCAAAGTGCCAAATGAATCAAATCGAGCATTCTTCTCCTTGAAAATATCCAACTCATCTTCAACATTAACAGGGTGTTGTGAAAGAAGAGCCCCTTTGAGTTAATTAATATAGAACAACTTTTAAAAAATAAGGAAAAAAAAACAAATAAAATAAAATGGCCAGAGCAGTGCTCCCGTCCCCGTCGGTCTGGCCGGACTTAGACAAATAAGCACTAACAAAAAAGCACATAAAAAAACAACAGCTATATTACTCCTATAAAATATCCCGGGCAACCCAGCTTGTTCACCATAGATGGGGTCTGAAAACGGATTCTGTAGGGCAGATACCGAGGAAAGTCGAAATTGCATCTAGTATTCTCACAAATGGAGGTGCGACAAGGGATGACAGTGTCTTCTGCTGTACGAATCAGATTCTAGGTGATGTGATCACGGGCTATTGAAAAATCATTTTTGCTGGAGTGGATAAAAAACTCTTAAAAAATTCAGTATCATTATACGCCCTATATGCAGCATGCAATACTTGGAAGCATTTTAAGTTAAGTGAAATGGCAAACATCCAGAGCCGTGCAAATATTTTTATCCATAACCATGAAAGCATGAATATCAGAAGCATATTTTAGGGATTTGGGCTTAGGTCCTGGCCAATTTTATGATTTAGTGCACCATGTTCCTTAGGTAAAAAAAAAAAAAAATTACATAGAAAATGTATCATCACCTATATTTCAGGCTTGTCATTGTTCGTGATATCCAGCAGTAGCGGTTCGTCAGTGGATACGTGGGGGGCCCGGCCTCTTCTTTCTTTGCTGGCAAACCTACTGGTGCACATGACGAACCGCCACTGCAGCTTTCCTGTTGATAAGCTTTAGCTGTAGAGGAGATAAAGTTATGAACTTCCTTGTGCTTTATGTATGTGATAGTCTCCATTGCTCAAAGATCATCGGGTGTCCGCCGGACTCCATGTTGCATCCATAATCATGTGAAGCAGCCATTTGACTGACTTCTCGTTGGTTGCTTGTGGCTGGACTGTTGCACAGATTAATCTTTCTGCAAAGGATGGATCTGACTCAACCCAGGACGTGCCTTAGATGACAGAAAGAAGATTGCGTTAACCCTCATTCAACATTCACCGTGCTCTTCGGATGATGTGATAGCGGTGACAACTTGTCAGTGTCCCAGCACCCCAGGAGCCTAGCTATTGAATGTTGATTCCTTCCGTACGTTATACAAGGCCTGTGAGTCTTACTAAAGATGAAACTGTGATTGGTAGATCTCTTAACATTACTAAGGATCATGCTCATCTACTCAGAATGGGAATTCAAAATTGAGATCCTTTTCCCCAAAAACTGTTTCTTGGGGAAACCTCTTTCAGCATTCCAACATATCCAACATTCACCCAAACGGTAAGAAAAAAAAAAACATCTCAAATGTTTTTCTACCGTCGAAGAAGTACTCTTTATTGTCATTCATGAATTATAGGGAGGAGAGAATCATGGCCGAGGTCGCTAATGTACTCGCTCGTAATTTCACTGACCTAACGTACATCGAAGTAGATCTCGTCTTGAATGATCTACAGGTGGATGGGATCATTTGGCCCTACGAATATAACGAAAATAGCGGTGAAAAGACCACAACAATGGAAAAAGTGCTGTTTCTTCAGAAAGTCCTACCTAAGAAGGGAGACGAAAGCTTCCCAAAATTCATTGATATCCTTCGTCGACGTAACTATGGCAAACTTGCCAATAAAATGGAAGAAGGTGAGTCATAAAAAAAGCCTTGAATAAATTCATCTAATGAAAATTCCCTTCAGCCACGATTGCATGGTTCTGCTTAAAAATATGAAAATTGACCAAGAGCCTTTTCCTTGAAAGGTCTGAATGCTTGCTCAATCTCAAATTCATCCTTACCTTATCGTTGCTTTCACTCAACTCAAAATCCATTTCATGAAACCATTTCTCATTCTACTTTTTAACTCTAGTATCATTCTTCCCGGGTGTCTTCCCAGCAAAAGCTCATTAACCTCATCCAAGATGCCCCCTCCTATCTGAAAGGGATGGCACACTGGCTCTTATTGTCAGATCGTTTTCTCTCATTTAAATATGCAACCAAATATGGCCATGCTTTCCTTGCATGAAAATTTCTTAGATTTATAACCGCAATGGATGCGGAAATAAATAATTCCTGAGTCAGTATGATTCATTAGATCACCGCTACTGTGTACTTTGCGATATGCAGAAGATTGAAAAATTATTTGAAAATTATGAATTCCTGTAAAACCGCCGTGCCTGCATAAGTCCGTACCACTTCTTGCTGGTAATTTCAGCTTCCTCTCTGTGAAACTTGGTAGATTGCAGAAAAGAAACGAGAAATCTGCGCTTTCGTAACTAGAATATGAAAAAACTTCTGCTTTCAAAGTTCTGTTCAAATAATACATTTACTGATATCATGCTAGAATTGAGGAAACTGCAGAATGGGGAAGATAATGGACCTGCGGAGGAGCTGAATTCCAATGGAACAAATGCAACCAGCAAAAGTCTTCCTGACCTTCAGAGCGTGCTGCCCGTTGACGTCGGAAATGGAACTGCATCGTAAGTCTGAGGGAATTATTGCGCAAGCCAATCTTTTGCGTGATTGATAATTGTTCAGGAAGAGAGCGAAATATAATCTGATGCGCTGGATATTTGCACATGCACTATAGAATATACTGAGGACTTGGTGGTCACATGACATTCTCAACCCTTTTTTTCCTTCTGAGGGAACGCCTACTTTTGAAGATACACATTGGAGTCCACAGTTAGGCCAAAAACATGGCCAATTTAGATGCTTGGTAACTGGCACCGAACCGTGACAGCTTGAGGATATGGATTATCCCAAGCTCGAAATCTTGCTTTTTGCTTGTTTATGTACTCTCCAAAGTTATAATGAGCTTCCCCTTTATCTATTTAACATCCAATATGTCCGGATTTTCTTCAATAAGTTGAGAACGAGCATTAGCAAATGCTAAGGGCTTGTCTTTTCCTGTAGCAATAAGCTTTAGGCTCAGTTGAATTTTTTTTTAAGCCCTTAAATTCACCTTGGTAGATTGCACAGACTGTGACGTAGCTTAGTCCCATATGTTGTGAATCGCAGACTCATAAAAATAAAAAAATTGGACTGGCACGGAAACACACAAACGAGGACAAATGTCACAAGCAGCGAACACATAGTGAAGGGGAAAGGAAGTCCAAATCAGACATCCCTGACGGCAATGCCACACCTTCCCACGCTCTCAACCCACTGTATCTCGTTCTCACGGGCCCTGGGAAGGTGATGGCAACTTCAATGCCCGCTCAGGCTTGAAGCCTTAACTCACTGCACATCGTGCCGCCAGAACCTACGTTTCGGGTGCTATTGAGGCGCACCAAACCTTTGCCTCTCACACAATGGAACAGAGAATAGCCTTTTCTGGAGCCCAAGGGCAAGCATATAGTACCCAAAAACAGTCATGTGAGCTGTCGGCCCAGGAGAAACCGCCTGCCGGTCGAATTCGAACCGGGCTTCTTGTGTGCAAGCCCAAGCCCCTTTCCACTGGGCCAAGGCAACGCGGTGTCGATGCGGACTCTCGGGGAACTCGCTGTAGAACAGCTTATGCTTAACGCAATTGCTTCAAGTGTTCGCAACGTCGGCCGTCCACCATTACCTTTCTTTTGGTCCAAGACGGTTCCTGTCTCCTCAAACTTAAGGGGTCAAACGGACATCTCTGTTCCTAGTAGGAGACTGACAAGTACCAATCTCCTTCCTGAACTTTTACCGCACTGTCGCAGTGGATTTCCCAAATATTAGTGTTTCACGACAAAAACTTTTCCTGCGCATTGTATGCCGCTATCTTGCTCAAGCATGGGACTAACCCATGGGATGTATATGTTCTCAGATGCTATATTCAAAATATGGTGAGTATGCACCAAATTGTGGAGGAGCTGGAATTTTTCAAAGGTTTCAGGAGAATAAATGATCAACCTGTAACCAGAGATAGGGTCTCGCTGACTGCAAAAATATTCACAGAAAATTTACTTGAAACCCTTTTCAGAATACCATTGTAAATTTAATGATGAATTATTCAGTCAAAGGCACAAACTGACTCTCCCTGTGATTTGATTGAGAATTCCAGTTCAAAATATAGGGTGTCCGAGAATGGTTACGTCGATTTCAAATCAAGAGATCTCATCAGGGGGGGAAGAGAAACATGCAGTTTGCACTGAAATAAAGGTGAGAGTTGCGAATATATTCACCCTGCACGATATCCTTAGTGCTTTAGTTAGTTCCCCGCTGTGAGACGCTGTAAACCAGTTCCCACTGTGTGTTGCTGCATAAGCAGCTATAACGGCGTTTATGCAGCAAAAGGCTAAACGTGTCATATGGTTAGCGCAGCTTCAATCCGAAACTCGTGTCCAGCGCGTATTTAGACGGGTGTACGATATAGAACTTCCTCACAAGGACTCTATTCGAAGATGGTGTGGAACCAAAGGCATATGCTGCCAGGCCTCGCACGGAGGAGGAAACAGTTCAACCCATCCACCAGGCATTTTCACGAATTGAACTTCCTAAATCCACGCAATTGTAGTCGTTTCTGAAGCACCTTGTACCTTGGATTCAAGGAGTTGTAATTCAAGTGCAGCTTGCAGGACGGATTTGCGCGGACTTGACTCCATTTGGCGCGACACACAGTGGGAAACTAACGAACTATTGAGGATACTGGGCACAGTAAATAAATTCGCAATTCTAACCTTTATTTTAGTGCAAACCGCATTTTGCTGTTTCATAAGATATTCATGAGATATTTCGATTTAAAACCGACGTGACCATTCGCGGACACCATGTAAGTGGTACTCATAAATGTTGGCTGATGAGAGTTACGGGAAAGCATTATATCAGAAAGTCGGAAGTTACATAATGGACCTCTTGCCCAATGACGAGAAATGGAATATTTTCGTAATTTCCTTTTTTTTTAACAAAAAGTGCGGGCGTAACTCTACCAACCGATGCCAGATGGCGTGTAGCAGTCGATTTTGCGATTCTCACCCTAATTCCTCTGAAATTGGTCCTCTGAAAATTTACATGCCGTACCCTTTTTCCCACGTACAAATTTGGGGAAAGGCTTGGGATCCACGGATTTCCCCATTTAAGAAGGGAACCCAGCAGGAGGAGAGTACTGCTACTTTTGGAATGGGGGTCGGAAGCAGCATGGCAAATTGTGCGACGTCATTCCATCGTGTCTCTGAGCAACAATGCCTGCTAAAATCCGCTCCGGCCATGGGACACCTAAAAAAATTGAGGCCGTTTACCTTAAATAACTTCCTATCATATGTAACTTGAAGGTGAATGTAACTTAAAATAATATCGCACAGAGAAGTCAAAGCAAAATCACGGGGAATCACCATCTTCCATTCCTCTCCCGTTTCTGGTGTGCCTAAAGTTTACGTACCAAAGAAAAAAATAACTTACGCATTTCTAGCTTGCATCTCACTTCACGGCCGCGCTCTCTTGACTATTAATTAAAAGTAAAATTAATGCAAAACGGGAGAGATCCTAGAGCGGTTCCTAGGGAGTGCCCCCTCCGCACAGGAGCCATTGTATGTACGCCGTCCCATGCAAAAGTCAATAGCTTAACCAGAGTCTTACACTCCGGTGCCGCTCACATTTACAGAAGCATAAATGCCCCTAATTCGAGAAACTGAATGAGGCTTTCTCCAATTAGAAAACACCAAACATAAATGAGGCTGAAGAATAGCTCAACTGCATGAGAATACCGAATGATGAGCTAATTATCATAATAAGCTGATCGACCGCTTTATTTTCCACTTTCACACTTAATTCAGTCGTCATTTGAGTTCTGGTCACATGCATGATAGCCCACATGTAATTCTGCTTGACGCGCATATTTTCAGTTGCTAATTGTAGGCAGCATTCTTCAAAAAATCGAGAACTGATTAGTTTTTTCAATCACTTACTACGTTCTCGCACCGTGACTGAAGCCGCTTTTCCTGTTCTTTATTTAAATAACTTATTCTTTATTGATATATTTAACTTTGGAAGGTTGTGTCTTGCAATTAGCATTTCATGCTTAATTTTTTTCGTGGTTTTTATAGTTGTTGTTCAGTAGGAGTACCCATGGTGCCAAGCTTTACTATTTTTATTTTTTGAGAGTATGCAAAAACCATCGAATCCATGACGGTACAGAGAACTTTGAGAACTATGGCATCGGCGACACTGAGGTGACTGAGTGCCAATAACAGAGTTTGACAAAATATTCCCTTTCTTTATCTGTTCAGACACCTACAAGTAGAGCCCTTTTCGGTGTTTCCTTACAAACAGCTTCTTTTCGAAGTTTACAATTTCCGTCTTTTGAGCAAACTGGGCTAGATTCGGACTGGATTCGGCTTTCTCTTCTTTCGGTCATCTACGTTTCGGTGTTGTGATAGGACTCTAGGATTGGTGTTCTAGGACACTAGGATAGAGATTCCTGACCCAAAATATACTCTTATCACCTGTTTTCTTGTATTTATGAAAGCCACAATATGAATGTAAATGTGAATCAAATAATGTCCTTTGAAATTCTGTGCATACTCGTGAGAATAGTCGTGACATCAATAGGCGCGGTAGCGCCTATTACCTTTCTTCAACCCCTTCCTGCCGCAAAATTCAACCGCCTCGTATTTTTCTCTGAGAGTATCAACAGGAACGAAATTTGGCATACTTCCTCTCTCACCACAGCATCGTTCCAGCAAATTTGAAGCTCCACCTCCCCGTGGTTGTGAAGAACGCTGAATCTCGTTTTTGGAGGATGTGAATTTCAATCCGTTTTTTTTCCTCCTCCCCTGGGTAGCCACTCCTGGGGGGGTTTCGGAGGAAAGAGACCAACCATAAGAAAGATATTGACTCGTAGATGACGAGAAGTGGCTTTTTTTGCTGTTTGCGATGCTTCATTTCGCTATTTAAAAAAATGAAATTAGCTGTCGTTCAATTAGGCTTAGAGTGCTTCTTCCGGTACCATCCCACAGTCTTGCCGGATATCGTACCGAAATTATGCCAGATTCAAGACTGTTTCAACCTTCGTATTGGCGTCTGGATCTTCCGTTTTTCATGTATAAGACATGTTTATGCTGATTTCATGAGATTAGTTGAGAATGAAGCGGTGGTTAGCTGTTATTGATCGATGTGGTGGGATATGTAGATATCTTATCCGGACATCCCCGAATTAACAGGATGGCAAGTACCATGGATTCCATGCTGCTTGAGGGCATTCTCTCTTCAGACCTATTCGAGATGGTTCGAGGAGCTCCAGATAGGCCTAACGTTCTACGTCCCACTGAAATGGTTCATGAAACGCGAAACAGGCCTCCAATCGGTCTAACGTTACACGTCCACTCCGAAGTGGTTCATGAACGTATGAATAGGCCTGCGATTGGCCTAACGTTACAAGTCCTTAACCAGATGTCTCTAAGACCACCCTTCACCTTAGCAGGCCTAATTTGCGCTGTAAGTTGAGAATTGACTTTCTTTTGAAAAGGAAAAGGTACGCGACTTGAAGGCAGTCTGTTTTTTAGGCCTAGGCC